CCTTCCTCTCTCTTTAAAAGCAATGAAAAAATGTTCTTGGGTGGGGATTTAAAATAACAATACTAAATAATAATAATAACATATACATTTCCTTTTGCTGTGGAAAGTTTCCATTTTCCTTGAGTTGCTATGTCTGACCTTTGTGATTTTCGGTCTTTGCTTTGCACATGTTTAATGTGTGGGTGGTATCCAAATATATGTGAAACTGAATGTTGTTAGAAGTCGAGAGTTCAAGAGAAAACAGGAGGGTCAAATATCTGTGCATTATGGATGAAGATCACAGTAGCAATTTGATTCAGTTCAAGAGATACTTATTGAGTGTTAACTCAGCATGTGCTGGATAATTCGAGTAAAGTGGTCAGTAAAACTAACGGTGCTCCAGCTCTGGTGGAACTTACACTCAAGGGGCAACATAACTTATCCCAAATTTCCTGAAACGCACCCTCATCCTCTATTATAAAATGTAGGCATTTAAAGAGTTCATAGGGTGGTGAACTTGCAAGAGGACTATGAAATGTTTCACTGGGAGAAAGAGTTTTTCTCTCTCTCATATAGTTTCTTAGAATTCATTGACTCCTTTTTTCACTTATACATTTTTTTTTAGCTCTATGGAGTGTCTGGCCCCATTGGTCAGAAAGTCCTCATTAGCTCCCACGATGTCCAGTAAACATGTCACCTGTCTTCCTGAGGGAGTCCCAGGACCCCAGAGTTCTGTGTCTCCTCCCAGCAATGGAAACTCTGTGTGAAAGTCTTCCTGCTCGTCAGCTCCTTCTGTCTGCAGGTCCTCCCGGCCGCCCTCAGATGCGGTGGGGTACAGGGGACAGTTGTGGGAATTCAGAAATTCGGCATTACCAGAACTAGGTCTGAACCAGGTTCCTCTGCTTCCTAGCTGTGTGTGATCTTAGGGGCGTGGCTTCAGTTTTCTTGGTCATCATTTTTGCATTGTTTTCACAGCACACTTGTGACATAGATGATATGAAGCCCACTTTACACACGAGAAAACAGAAGTTTAGTAAGGTTAGGTAATTTCCCCAAGAGCCAGGGTTCTAATACATGAAGACTGACTTTAGCTTCCATGCTGACAGACTCCTTTATGTCAATTTTTAAAAGCTGAACATTATTTTTGGTGCATAGAAAGCCTGCAATAAAATATAGCTATTGTTATGGCCACTGTGGCTCAGTCAAGATAATGAAAGTATTTATTTCCTAAAGGTGGAAACAAAATCTCTGTGGTAGACCTGTGCTCGGGTTATTCTGAAGTACAGGATCATTCTCCTTCTACCTCTGACCCCAGCCCCATGGGAGGCTGACCTTGATTAGAGTGGAAAATGTCATTTGTAATTGAAAGATCTAATTTTTATAATTCTATTTCTGCTGTAATGAAGAATTACACTTTTGACATTTTGAGCTAATGTTCTAGATAGCCCTGGATTGACATGCGTGGGTGGTACCAGGGGTCTGAACCCAAGAGCTGAAATGTAAAAAGGAGTCCTTAATCAAGGAATCATGGGTCTTGTTAAAGGTTAAAGTTAAGTAAAAGATGCACAGTGAATGCTTTTTGAGGCATTTAAAACTATTTGTATTCTACATGCACAAAAATAGGATAAAAATATGTGTATAGGTTTTCATATATGGCATTAGAAAAATTCTTGACTAATGATGATGCACTTTTGTTACCGAACAACAGGAGGTCTGAGGGAGGGGCAATACAATATTTGGCCCACCTAGGGATGCCAAAACCGCTATATAACAGGGGCTCCTCCCAAAACAAAATACTAACTAAAATCTACTGGGCCCTTCTGTCCGCCACCAATTGGAAAGACATCTCTTAATGCCAGAGATTTGTGAAAAGGAAACAAAATGTTTATTTAATGCTATTCAGGCCTAATGCCACCACTAAAATATCAAAGTCCTTTAGGGTATACACCTACACCCACACAGCGCTCCTTTCTCCCACTGTCCCAACTCCGGGTACCGTAAATCAGGAAAAGAGCACACGTCCTTTTTGTCACCGTGCAGGATCTCGAGTTAATCCAAAGTACTGTGGTACCCTCTCATGGTCCACTGGCAAGAGTCCTTTGTACCCAGTTCCAGTCAAAGTCTCTCCTGCTTTCCAGGCCCGGCGGCCAAAGGGGGCACCTCAAAGCCACGTGGGCCTCTTCTACCAAAGCTGCAGGAGTCCGCACTCCACCAAAAGCATGTGGCTTTCTTCTTCACCTGACTGCAGGGATCTCCATTCTGGCAAAGCTGCGTGGTTTTTCCCTTTCACCTGGGAAAGAGGGGGTCCGCACCCTGCCAAAACCACGTGGCTCCCTCTTTCACCTCACCAAGAGGGGGTCCTCACTCTGCTGAAACCGCGTGGCTCTCCCCCATCTGGCCAAGCGGGGACCCTTCATGTCCTGGAGCCAGTCTTTTCCAAGCTCTCACCTAGGCGCTCTCACTCGGGAGCGCAGCCCCTAGTTACATCCTGAGTCCAAGCCCTTCTCACTCAGGAGTGCAGCCCCTCATTACCATCTCGAGTCCCTTCTCACTCAGGAGCGCAGCTCCTAGTTACATCCTCCTGAGTCCCCCAGTTCCGTCTTGAGTTTCCAAGCCCTTCTCACTCAGGAGTGCAGACCTTAGTTCCCATCTTGAGTCCCCCAAGTTCCATCCTCAGTCCCTGCTAGTTCCATCTTCCTGGCTCCAAACTTGGCCACTGCTATTTAACATATCTATGAAACCAGTTAAAGGTTATAGATATGTTAAATAACCATTTCTCCAGAGGTTAGCTCCAAAACTGTTGTTATGCAAAATAGCTCTCAATGGCCCTGGCTCTATTCATCCCTTCCCCCTGGGGGGTGGGGTGGTGGTGAGGACATCTTATATGTCTCTCCAATATTCCTATACACTTTGAATTCTGGACACCATTCCAAATCTTTTTTTGGGGCCCCCCCCTGGCTGCACCCTGTATCACTTTGATCTCTTCAGATCAGCGTGGAGAAATGCACTTTAGTGTCCTTATCATTTCCTCCCCTGTCTTGTTAACATTTCAAGGGTTAATCTTCTCCAGAGAGCTCTTGGTTTTCACTAACAAGTTGAATTTTTAAAATCCACCATAGAAAGATATTGTCCTCATTTATGTTTTGTTGCATTTAGGTAGGGGGTTGGTATTATTTAAATGTCATGTTTAAGAATGTCTACTCCTCTCTTTCCCATTCTATTCTACTCTGCCTACTCTAACAACCCCAAAGTTTTCTATTGCATCTGAAATAGTCTCCAAGTTCCTGGAGAGGATTTAAAAACACTATTTTATGGCAAAAATTGGAAAAACTACTGCAATGATATTTTTTTCTGTTTTGGGACAGAGAATCAAACCTCTGTGTAATTTTGACCCAAATCATGTTGCTTGGGTAGACAGACAAGCCAGCAACTCACCCATGAACGTGAACATGAACATGTCCACCTCAAACATCCCTGGGGTGGGCGAAGAATTGGTGACAGTACCGCTGAAAGGCGTGTCCTGTTGACTTTCCATAGAACTATGAAAATTCAATTCAATTCACATAATATGTTAATGGACCCATTTAAAAATCGATCGTTTTAAACCCACAACAATTAAATGTGTTCAGGGGTTGCTGGTGATGTTTAATTGTGGTTTTGCAAATGCGCGCAAGCATCTTGACATGATTCCAAAGCATGAGCAAAGAAAGAAAAATAAAAAATATAAACCAAAATATTTCTCTTTTTGAAGGAAGAAGAAAACTCACTGCTTTGCCCTTATAGAAACACTTAAAAACATGCACGTTTTGTTTCCACATAACACATCAGTTCTTTTGAGACAAGAGAAGTCAGACTTAAGGCCTGGAACCTAATTGGAATCACTTATTCAAGTGATTCAAGACTTTGTTGTTTTTTTCCCCCCAGAGATCATTACTCTTCAAGTTTAACAACAACAAAAAATAAATGTTCCTTTAGTTTTGCACCACTGAAAATGAGAATGTGCTGTGGACTTTGTCAAAAAGAAAGATGTGAATTTAGAATTTAGTTGACGACGTCCTGTTCATCTGGAATGTGGCCAGGTTCAGCCCATCACCATCCTTCAAATACCTTTTTACTAAATAAGTTTAGACAACTGAATACATTGAAATATTTTATTTGGGTTGGGAGGTGGACTTGTGAAGAAACTACCAAGTCGTGACTCTCACTGTGTGTTTGTTGGAAACCGCGAGCCCAGAGAGGGAGAGTCAGTCGGGACCTCAGGACGTATAATTAAATCACTCTGCTTCGTTCCGTCAAGGTGACTGGAGACTAACAGAATGCATTTTCATCTCCGCTGTGATGCTGTTGGTGATGGGGACGATTTGTGCGGTACAGAAGTTAACCTGTCTCGTGGGGAAAGGTAAAGCTTTGTGTTTCTGTTACCGAATCACAGCTCTTTCAAACTCCCTTTGTAATGCACTGTCCCTACTGGGGAACTCGCTCAGAACTCCCCTATAATCTGTGTGTGTAGACAGGTGTTAAAGTACCATGGAGTTATTAACGATGAGGGAAATGGAAGATTAACTTCCTTCTTCAAAATTGAAAGGCATCTCGGAACAAATCCTTTGGTTTTACCCAAGTTTGAGGGTCTGGAAAATGTCTTATTTAAATATACAGGTGTCTTTATGTGGCTCTTAAATCTTTGCCTCGCACTGCAGTTTTCCCCCATATGTTTATCTTCAACGAACAGCTCAGACCTGATGAACTGTGTGGAAATGTTTTGTAAAGCTGCAGACCGTCCTTTCCGACAACTGCTTCTTTTGTTTAACTTGAACTTCTCAAAGAGAGTGTAATTTATTATGTTTCTTGCCTACAAAACAGGGCTAGTCAGGGTACCTTTTACATGACATCAAAGGGAGTTTAGTTAGATATAGTTTCATTTATTGTGATTAAAACGGATGTGACGCACACACACAATAAAGTGAGTGCGACACAAACATCCCTGGGCTTCGGGAAGCTCACTGTGGCCGCAGTGAAGGAAGTGAGAGCAGAGTGGAGCCAGAGAGGCCAGATCGAGAGTTTACAACAGCCCCTGGAGGAAAGAGCAGTGATCTCAGTTAAGGTCGTCGGGAGGGAATGGAGAAGACAGAACAGACTTTGAAGATGTTTTGTGGAAAAGATTTATTGGAAGGGTGCAGTGAAGGGGTAAGGAGATTTATTATGGCTGAAGGGTGTCTTTCTTAGATAGATAGTCACTAAATTAATTGGGACAGGGAAAGCAGAGGAAACACGCTGCTGTGACATTTGGATGCTGACATGCCTTTCATCCATGCGTTGAGTTGGAAAGAGAAATCTGCAGTGAAGACGTAGACTTAGTTGTCTCCATTTGTGTGAGAGTTGAGAGGCTGTGGTCTGAGGAGAGAAGGGAGGGGAGGTAGGAAAATGAGAAAACCCAAACTCTAGAGGGTGGGTGGAGGAAGAGGAGGCTGAGAAGGAGTGTCCGAGAAGGGAAGATGCTCAGATGCCACACTCGCCACCTGAGGAATGGTTGAGCTAATGGGCCATGGTCGGCCCCCGAGAGAGCAGATCCTTTTGAGGATAAAATAGTATGTCTTTTAGATTTTTTAAAATATGGACTGTTTAGTCTTTGTTGCTCCTGAGAGTGCTGAGGCACTCTGTGGAAGTCAATTCTGCTTTTGTCTATGGAATATCTTTCAAAGAATAGAAACCACACGAATAAGATATAACCACCACAGTGTACTTTTAGCTGCCTCCCCATTGAAGACAGACTCACTGACTGTCAGCTAGGAACTACATACTGATTGGACAGGACACTGGATGATTTCTAAGAGTCTCTGAGATCTTAGAGTCCATAAAAAGTCTGACTTTTTATGAAAGTGTTTTGCAAAATTTTAGCTCAGCTTCAAGGGGACAGTCCCAGGCCACAGTGACAGAGCACATATGCACAGTAAAGACGATAGTATTTCCCCTTCATTTTCTCCCCAGATGGGGACACTTTAGTCTTCCTCTCCCCATGTTGTGACCTTCAGAAATCACATGAATTAGCCACGCGAGGAAAGATCAGACAACTTTTTTCTTGCATCGTTATCCTATTTGTATTTGAAAACAAGGAGGTGTGTTTATAGTTGCATGTAGTTTGATAGTCAAATAATCAGTATTGTTTTTCCAGCAAACTTATCATCCTTCATAATGCAAATTTGCTACTGTGGTAATTCCACATCAGAACCCGCAAATGTCTCAGGGAGGTTTACTCCTTTTGAGCTACCATAACACTGAGTCTGCTGTACCGAAGAAGAATGAGACAGAAGCGTCCATTGTTCGTAGGGAATCCTTGAGAATCCTTTCAGTGGAAGTAACCAAATGTATTGGTCGCGTTTGATCCTACCACAGACAGGCGGGTGTGGCAGGGTTAGGAAGAATAGGACTTATTTTATAGAATTACATCTCTGATGGGCCATGTAGATTGAAGTCTGCATGTTGGGATTACAACTAGAGTAGGCTTGACTAGAAGTTGGGTTGTTCATATAATTCCTCCTTCTCAGTTACATAGACTTTATTATACTAAATTACAATTTGCATCATTCAAATGCAAATGAATTTCCAAAAGCCCTGTGTGGGCTTCATGTAATTTATTTTGGGCAAGAGCTGTTCAATGTTTTACATATTTTAAAGAATTCAGTGATGCAGCTCATTCCAGGAAAAAAAAAAAAACCTGTGAATTTGAAAGTGCTCTTTCTATTGGAAGGGCTGTTGTAATTCACATCTGGTTGTAATTCACATTTTCCTATTGGAAGGGCTGTTGTAATCATTGGAAATTCACATCTGGCTTTACTTTGCTGACTCTCTCCCCTTGGTTTCCCTGAAGTTTATGTGACCTATGAGATTTGAGGTACTTTACCTGACTTGCCCTTGTTTCTCAGAGTCTGAATAGTCCCAGGGCAAATATGACCCCAATTCAATATTGACTATAGAAGAAAGGAACATAAAAGAAAATTTGAAAAGCATAACACACTACCAATGTTATCGTGGAAAACGTGGACATTCATTCAACAGTAACACTTAATCTCTGGCCCTTCTGAACCAATCTGGCAGCTGACGGAACTGCTCCTAACACAGGACACTTCACAAGTCACCGAACCTCCCTTGGCAGTTTATTTTAACATCTTTGCTCCAGAAGGTAAGAAAATACTTTCCCAGCCCTTTAATATTCTGCAGCTGTTCATTGACTCGACGTGAGGCTTATAGGGAGAGAATTGCACTTGGTTTCAGTTCTGCAACAGACTCTAGAAAAGGCTTGCCTCTGTTTAGCCTCTGCTCTCACTAAAGATGTCTTTTCTCATCGGCCCAGGACACTCACACTGCTTCCCTGCATTTCAGTGGGGATTCTGTGGCCTTAGGTCAGGTTGCTCAGTGAGTAGTAACTCGTGTGTGTGGGCTTCTCTCCCCATCTTTTTCTGACCTGGTTCCTCCAGGTGGGGAACACGGTGCAGTTCGAGGCAGGTTCCGTGGAACATTGACCCTGCAGCATGTTTCATAATAAAAAGGGTACATGGGACACATCAGTTGGAAAACGAGTTTAGAGTTTATGGTTAGAGATAGCATTTGAAAGGGTCTGAGAAATTCTGCAGTACAGAATTCCCATCTGTCTCTGTTGGACCTGGTGGTAGAGCACGGTATGTAAGGGCACCAGCTTTGAACACAGATAGACTTGGATTCGAATCTCAGGCTCACGATTAGCTGTAACAGCTGGACAAGCTACTTCCCCATTCAGTGGGAATCCCTGGTACGCCATGTGAGTGACGGGAAGTGTGACTCCCACTCCTTAGGCTTATGGTGGAGAGCAAATAACGTAACCCGTGCAAACGTTTGGCAGAGTGCCAGGATCAGAGTTGGCACTCAGTTACTCATTTCTAGTATAATACCTTTATCTTATTTGACTGCATGGCTCTTTGGGGCAACATACATAAACTCTTCTAAGGAAAGCTGATGGGAAATGCTGGGTCTGGTGTATTGACACCTGTATCAACATGTGAACTCTTTATTGTTAGTGGAGACTTCTCTCCAGTGTTTGTTTCACAAATGGAATGTGCAGAACTTCCGGTAAATAATGTGAAGTCGACTTTGAAATATAATACACAAAGGTTGTTATAAAAAAGTCTATTTTCTGTCTTGAATATCAACAGCTAAGTTCTAAGATGTAAACGTCTAGAACGAAGCTCTAAGAAGGAGAGTGAGAAAGAAGGGAAATGTGTTTTCTTATGTGAAGAAGTTAATGAAGAATTCGAAGACCCAGGGAAGGAGGATGGCAGCCCAGTCGTCTTTCAGAACAGAGATGAGGTGACAAAGCTGATTATTAATAATTCTCTGGAAGGTAATTAGTCTTAAGCCCCAGCAAAATGCAGGGAAAGTCTGTGTTCCACTCCCATAACTGCCCTTCTTCACTTTTTTCCTCCCTCTGAAGTCCCTCCTGTCCTTCTCGTAATTCCTGCTCACCCTGGACAACTTGCTCAAATAAAAATCTTGTAGAAACCTGCCCTTAGCTAAACTTTTCGAAAGGATCTGATCATCAATTCATGTGAAAGTGTAGAACAGGGTTTCTCAGCCTCTGCTTTCTCGGCATCTTGGACTGTGTACTGTGGCGAGCTGTCCTGTGCACGGCAGGATGTGGAACCGAACCTTCGGCCTCTACCTGTTAGATGCCGACAGCACTCTGCATCCTGTTGTGTGGCAGCGAACGATGTCCCCAGCCATTGCCAAGTGACCTCTGGAGGGTAAAATTCCTTCTCTCTGCATCGGAAACCACGAAGTGTAAATATTTTACAACAGTTAAGTCCATGCTACTCTGTGAATTAGTGTCCTTTTTTATTATATGTAATTTCTTAATTACCCACGATTGAACTTGGAACAGAAAATTCACTTATAGGACATGTCAGGGAGCATGGTTTTCTACAACCACATCAAGGAGGTGGATGACTCCCTTCTGTAAACCCAAGGCCGAACCTGTTGGCGTGAGCAAACTCTCCTCTTCAGAGAATGGCTTGCGATGGGTCTGAGGCTTTGTTTGCATGTGTATTAAACGTTGAAGCCTATTTCCCACCCTTCACTCCAAATGTTGTTAACAGTTGACCATCAAACAGGGAAAAGCATTTCCAGTAGTCTGACTTTTCCGTTAATAAAGCAGAATAGATCAACTGCTGGTGTTTTGTTCTTTGGTAACTGAATTAGGTTTATTGTTCAACAAATCTGATGGCAGAACAGCACTTCCAACAAAGGCAAAAAATAAATTCTAAATTGATGATATTTCAGAGTGTCTTGAAATACTTGTTTGGCATGGACTCTGAAAGAGCAAGGGCTGAAATCCAAAGACTGCTGTTTTTTTCTTGAATTTGCATTTGGCTTTTTGCTTCCCATCTTTTTGCATGCACATTCCCCCTTCCTTCCTTGTCGCAATTCTCTTCTGTGAACTTTTGTTTCACAAAGAGGAATGAGCGCTGTGCAATGAAAACACCGGCTGTAAATCATTTCAGCTATTAAATGTAGTTTTTCTGGAGTCCAGTAATTAGCCCTGTAGTTCTAAAAATGAGAAGTACTGCCAATATCTGAATGCGTCATTTAATTGGTCCACAGGGAGAGACCCAGGAGTGTCCAAGAGACCAGATTTTGACTTTTTATTGTTCTAGTTTTTCTCTCGGTCCTGCAGTATTCACTTGCTAATTATTTACACAATTAACTGTTTATTTTACGGGGTAAAATACCGTAGGCACTGCAGAATTCATAGCTCTGACACAGGGGGCGCCTTTCCAAGGCTTGAATGCTCAGCGGACAAAAAACGTGTGCTTTGTAGATTCGATGCAAAGTGAGTGGGAATATTTCTTTGTGCCACAGTGTCGCTTGGGACAGCAGCTGCAATGTTATCTGTGGAACCCAGGTTGGTAGCTATGCAGAATTCTCACGTTGGTCACAGAGCAAATAATGAACTAATTTATTGTAGATATTTAAACTGTGCTCAGAATCCTCCTTGCTTCTTGAAATTCATGGTTTAAGAATAAGGACGTATGCTATATAAAGGCTCAGATTTGAAATAAAAATAGGCAAAGCACTGAGCGGCCCAACATGTGTTTCGATAATTTATTCTCAGAAAGTCAGATATGAAGGAGATAGTCTATATTCTGACGTTTGAGAATGTGAATTCCCTGCCAGGAGATAAGAAAAAGGTTTAGTCCTCTTTCCATTTTGCCAAGCCGAGAGAACACATTCAGATACATACAATCTTGCCCTTGTCTCTTTTAATTAAAAAGTGTTAATGCTGAGAGCAGAAAATGTGGTCCGGGGGATGTTAGGAGTGTCCCTATCAGAAATGAGGATTCTGGGGAAGGTCAGAGTTGAGGTGAGTTGAGCCAGTGGTTGAATATCCACTTTTTCTCCGTGACAGGGTGGAGAGCAGTAGTGGTCTACAGTGTCTTTCTTCTCTAGAGTGTCAGGGCCTGAGTATCCCCATCCAGTACCACCAGGCTCTCAACAAATGCCGGTTGAGCTAGTTAATAGCAGCATCCCTTCTTGGCTGTTGCTCCTTCCAGGCCCCCCTTTGCAGCTGAACATTTCTGGACATAGCGCAACACACAAGTGTGGAAAATCTCGGAAGGTAAAAGAAGAGTGGGCAGCTTGGGACCTTGGGGCTGGAGGAGTGACACGGTGGTGAGTGACGCGGTGGTGGACTTCTGTGTCTTTTGTACAGGGCCTGCACAAGCTTCCAAACCAGAACCGCCAGCAGGCACAGACATGAAAAGCTCCAAGAAGAGCCTGTTCTCCCTATGCAAGAGACCAGGAGGCATGTACAAACACCTGCCCTGTTCTAGACAAATGCCAAACACCAGTGAAAAAATTTGTCCTCCTTTATCCTCTACCTGGGTGGAAACTGGCAGCATGCCCCCCTCCCCCGCAGGGCAGTGCGAGCAGGTCTGAGTGGGAAGCTAATCTTTTTTTTGCATGGCGGTCTCAGGCAGTGTCTCTTGTCCCTCATCCACTGGTGTTCGCAGGACCACACGGACAGCTGATCCACGCCTGGCCCAGGGGAACTCACGAGACAGTGCAATTCTCCTGCCAAGGTAGTGCCAGTCGGGCCCAGGGGTGACCTGAGTCTCCATCTTCATACCACAGCAATGAGACTTGAGGAGGTGTTGTGTGCCGGGGCAGCCAGAACTTCACTTTCCTCTGGGAGAATGGGGCCCACTGGGGAGCTGAGTCTCTACCCCATCAACTAACAGCAAGATAGATTTAGGCGATTGGAGGCAGGGTTTGTTAGCACCCCTCCTCTCTCGCTTCCTTCCTTTCCTGGTGGCAGCAGAGACCACTGGAGCGGGCGTTGGCACCCCACTTTTACCCAGAGGGAGTCGACAGGGGCAGAAGGGGTAGCTGAGTAGGAACCCCTCTTTCTAAGATAAGGCATTGTGACTCAGTGCCCTGCTCTGGCCGAGGCGGTGTTGTCAGGCCCAGAGGGAGGCTGAACACACTCACCCCGCCCTGCCCTTTCAGTCTGCCTCGCCCGAGGAACAGTCTGCTAGAGACGGAAAGTCATATAGAGCCCAGAGTCTCAAAATGCCCAGCACACCGTAGAAAGTCACTGTCCCACCGAGAACTGGGAACAGCAGAACATGAATGAGGAAAGACAGCCAACAGGTGCCAGCACCAAGGTGAATCAGGCTTTGAAATGATCTGACTAGACTTGGAAAGCAGCCTCATAAGGGCATGGTTCAGGAGCTATTATGGCTTTCCTTGAAGCAAATAAAAAAGTGAGTTATCTCAGCAAAAAATAGAAGCCATTAAAAAGAAACCACATGGAAATTATAGAAATGAAAAATTCAATAGCTAAGGTAAAAACTCACTCAATGAGCTTAATAGTAAAGAAGGACAGGATCAAATCAGTGAATTTGAGGACAGATCAATAGAATTTACTCAAAATGAATAACAGAGAACATAGATGAAGGGAAAAACCAGCCTTGGGCAAGCTACTTAAACTGGTCTTTCCTCACCTGTAAAACGAGAGTCGTGATTGTTGCTGTGTCCAAGGAATATAGTGACAATTAACCAAGATGCGAGTAACAGGCTTATCTGGCAGAGTGACAGGCACAAAGTGAGTTCTAATAAAAGTGAACTGTCGTAGGGTTGTACCCTTGACACTTACATAATCTTATTAACCAATGTCAACCCAATAAAGTTTTTAAAATCTTAACTATTGTTATAATCTCTCCACATAGATAGCCATGTGTTTTGATCTCTTTTTTTTCACTTAAAAAAAAAGTATATTTATTTATTTTTAGAGAGAGGAAAAGGGAAGGAGAGAGAGGGAGAGAAACATCAATGTGTGGTTGCCTCTCACACGATTCCCACCGAGGAACTGGCCTATCACCCAGGCATATGCCCTGACTGGGAATTGAACCACGATTCTTTGGTTCGAAGGCCCGCACTCAATCCACTGAGGTACACCAGCCAGGGCTAATTTCACTTTTCAAGAAAATATTGCATAATAGTAAAAGGAGGTTCTGTATACTAAGGGGGCTGTGTATCAAGTCTGAATTTTTTGATGGTGGTTTTTTTTTTTAGATTTTATTTATTTATCCTTAGAGGGAAAGGGAGGGAGAGAAACATCAATGTATGGTTGCCTTTTGTGCATCCCCTGCTGGGAACTGGCCTGCAGGGAACTGGCCTGCAACCCAGGCATGTGCCCTGGCTGGGAATCGAACCGCGATTGTCTGGTTCCTAGGCCCGCGCTCAATCCACTGAGCTACACCAGCCAGGGAGTGATCTCTTCATACAGTTAATTCAATTCAATTTAATAATTAGCATTTATTAATCACCAACTGCATGCCTGTAAGAAACACTATTTAGGCCACAGGGTTCAGTGGAAAGGGCTGATGTTTTTTTTAACTCAAAAGCACTAGATCCATATCCAGAATGTGCTGTATTTTAGGTGGGTGATTTTGGACATGATTTTGAGACTCAGATTTCTCAAAATGGAGTCTGGAAAATGGAGAGAAAAGCAAGCATCTAAAACGGTTATACTTTTTGGAAGGATTCAGTGGGCATCTGGTACATAGCAGAAGGTAAAAATATTAGTTCCATCAACTTTAGTTTGCATTGAAGACTATTTTGCCCAACTTTTTATTGAAAATTTTAAATGTACAGTAAAGTTGCAAGAATAGTACAAAACCACTCGTAAAACTCCATTTAATAAAAGACTTTTTGAGCAACTATTTTGAATATAGCATTGCAGTAGTTTACGAAAAGTTTAAAAGAAAGAGAAGACAGGCTTCCTTCTTTTGACAAAATTATACTCTAATGAGAAAGTAATAGCATTGAATTACAAACGTTTAGAGCTGGTGGTGACTTTGTAGATGTACAGAGAGCAAAGAGCTAGAATATGTAGTTCAAAGTGGTAGATGCTATTTTGAAGAGCTGAGGGAGAGAGCAGTGGGAGCGGGGGCTGCATAGGGAAGGCTCGAAGGAAGCGTTTGTAATCAGGGACTGGAAGGAGTCTGCGCCTGGATGAACAGCTGGTGTACGGCGCCATTCCTGGCCTAGGGCACCTGGAAATGAGAAAGATCTGGTCAGGAGCTAACAAGTGATATCCTAGAATTGTCTTTGCCTTCTTTGGCTAACAAGGATAAAGTGAGCAGAGAGCTGATGCACAGAAAAGCAGGCCTCAGCCTCTCGGGGACCATTTGGGAGGCGACTTAGGCACAGGATGTGGTTCTGGTGTAAAGGAGCTCATGAGAAGGGGCTGCTACGCTGATTACTCTTCAATATTTCTGCTCCGTCTTCTAGGTGGATTGGAAGTGTTCTGCTGTTAGCAACAGCTCCTGCGCATGTTCACATGCACCCACATGCACATATACCCTCACACCTATGCCCACATGTGCACTCTCACACACTTCCACACATTCTCATACCCGCACTTGTGCACTCACATAGTCACTCACATGCATTCACACACACACACATAACTTATACAGACTTGCACATATGCAGAATCTCACATATCACAGACACATGCAGTCGCACACAATTACATGTACACATAACACATGCATGTATATTCAAGCAGGCCCAATACACACAAATGCACTTATGTCATAAAGACACATAAACACATAATGCACATACAGTTATACACACATAGTCATGCTCCTCACCATACATATATGCATCAATATACAT